TTTTTTTATAATGTCATGATAAGGGGGATGCTTCTGTGTGCGAGCAGTTGTTATACGTTGTAAAAATGGAGGTTCCCCGCATGCGCGAAGACAGAGCGTAGCAAGCAGGCACCCAGTGTATAGCCAGTGCGTAACTGGAGTGCATATATAAGTTAACGTCTCCCCTCTCTGTATGGAGATTTACTTCCCCATCAGAGTTATCCTCCCACACGTGTGTGTATTATTTCCCCCTCCCTTGTACATCACTGCATAGAAGACAAAAAAAAAGAAAAGAAAAAAAAAGGGATTAACCTAACCCACCGCGCTTTTTACTCTATATATGTGTACCTTTCTCCTTTTATCGTCCCACCTGTTTTCTACTTTCGTCCTAATTCTCCCCATTACCAAGTTTCATATCCTTTTGAAATATTTGAATATATTTTATCAAACTAAAAATAACTCAAAAGCAATGGAAAAAAAAAAAAATCTGTAAAAAATAAAATTGTATATTAATATGGGTGCCATGGTTGGCGCGCCTCAGCAGGTGCAACCGCCCTGGTCTGAGGCTCACATGCGGCAAACTGAATGGACACGAACTCGTCACTGCGTTCGCGTTGAAGTGTGAAGCGCGCGAAGTAAGCGTCGGGGTAAGTGGTACGGTAAGCGGCACGGCAAGCGGCACACCTGCAGTGTAGAAAACCTCTACAGAGCAAACGAGGGCAAATCGAATAGGACGCCTTAAATACGCACTACGCAAAGTAAAAAGTTTGTTAAAAAAAAATACACGCATCAAACGAATAAACTGTAATCTACTATTCTGAAGGACTGCGCCATTTCGTTAAAAGTCTCCAACTCGGGATGAACATCCATGTCCTCCTTTGGCACATTCCAAGTTATAAGTACATCTGCATTGTGTTCCTCAATGGGAAAAATACAAATGTATAATAACACAGGTTCATAGTCAGCAGAGTTATTTCTTTTAATCTTCTGTCGGCCAACTAGGAGAATGTAAGTTCCTTGCGAATGGGACACGGAATGGTTACTAATCAAGATAACACTTTCTTCACTATTATTTTCTTTGGCCAAATCGTAGAAATAGAATTTGCCCTTTTCCTGTATATTTAAATTTTGAAAGCACAGCACTTCTATGATCAGACATTTGTCCTCGAACTTGTGTACGTATACTTCTTGATTGTCTGGGATTATTCTGAAGCGTGATGCATCCAGGTAGTTGTCCGGGATGTTCATTTTGATGAACCCGTTGAAGAAGTTGCTCTCGTGCAGTGCCTCAGCCATGGGGGGGCAGGAGCGGTGTGGATGGTTGCTCGGTTGGCTCGGTTTGCTGATTGGCTGGTTAGCCGGTTGGCTGATCATCCGGTTAGCCTTTTTGCGGTGCGCGCTCCAATTGACGGAAAAATGCTTTCGAAATGAAAGTTTCCCCCTTCACCATGTGCAAAAATGGAACTATAGTTTTTGCTTCCCCCCTTAAAAAAAAAAAATGAACTTCCATCAATCGTGTTTGCTCTCCTTTTTCTTGGCCTCTTCCGTTTGCCCGTTTCTGTTTCCTGTTTGCTCAAATTCGCAAGGGCAATGTTGAAACAACATATGTAGAGAAAATGAAGCGGTGGATTTTTTTTTTTTTTTTTTTTTTTTTTTTTTTTTTCCTTTTTGAGAATAAAATAATTTCCAGGGGAAGGGGATAACCGAGTACCCTTTTGCTTCTTTTTTGTGGGGGGGCTGCACAAAATTGAGGTGCTCGACACATTCCATGGGCTTAGCGGAAGCGATTGGGTATATGCTCTAAAGCATAAAATTACATCTATATATTTGTGTATACATGAATGTACTGAAGTGATGCAGCAAAAATGAGTGCTCATGCGAGTGACACAATTTTTCGTATGTCCACAACAACTCGCCAACGTAGGTCGGGCAGGTGGACGTCTCCCTCGCGCCTGACAAGTGCCCCTCCCCTGCAAGATCAGAGATATTTTTCAGGTGTTGAGCAAATGATACTAACTCCTTTCCAATGTTGTTGTGTTCTGTTTTTAAGAATTCGCCGCTGGGTGGTATGTCCTTTCTCGCTACATATATATGTCAAGGCTGGTGGGGCAGTAACAATGAGTGCTGGTCCAAACAGTTTTCCTTGGACATCAGTTTGGGGAAGAAGCTTTGCTGCACTACACATGAATGCAGCCGTGTATGAAATTTTTACGTTGAGTGGAAGGTTGCACGGGCAATGAAAACGATGATGATGTTCATGTGACCCTCTCATGGGTTATATGCGCTTGATTTCGCATGCCTGCTTTGTCCACTTGGACCGCTACACGCCCAGTTGTTCAGCCATAAAAAAAAAAAAAAAAAAAGGAATCTTTTTGAAGGTGCTTCTTCGTATAGCGATCTACCATACAATAATAATATATGTGTGATCAATTTATGTGACCCCCAAGGGGGCAGCAATTTATATTGGAGAAATTTACATCGTGGAGTACACAACAGTTTGGCTCTATAAGAAAAGCATACCCCTTGGAGTGTGCGTGGGCCTGCCGCCATTCACCTCCCACGTATGCACGTACATGTGCATGTGTGGGGTTGTATGCAGGTAAAACTATCCCTGCGCTCTTGGATATGACCCCTTGGATGCGTCCAATTCTTGTTAATTAAAATTTTGAATGAATGTTTGTCTGCCCATTGATTCACCTCTCAAGCAGAATGATTTTTCGCTGATTTGTTTTGTTTTTTACATAATTCTCACGAACGTAGGCCCCTGGCATGCGTGACATACACATAGGCGATCCGCCTAAGTCAGTTTTCTTCTCCAGCCTCTTTTTGAAGGCAGCAGAGCGGAGAAACCCCAAGGGCGAATTGATAAAAAGACGGGCTAGTATATCATCCCTACGCACATGTGTACATGTACGGATAGGTACATATGCCCAAGCGCTATGCCGATTTGGAGGGAGGAATTATTTTATACACATAAAGTATAAGACCCTAAAATGTGCTTAGTGTTCATACAAGAATGTGGGTATATTTCCACTGAGGAAGGACATCAGACATGGCTGTTCAGGGCAGTGTTGCTTGCTGCCGCATCAGGGAGTCTACAATTCGACGCTTTTTTTTTTATGCCCTAATAGGTTAACTGTGCGTATAGATTGCCTTGGCGCACTTTTTGCTTCGCGCGGAGGGGAATTATCGATTGCTACCTCATTTGAAAGCATGGGTTGTCCATTGAAATGGTCCCCCAGAGAACAATGTGGCAGATGAGGGAACGTTACCATGAGAAGGGGCTTCGGTTTAGCTTAGCCCATCAGGAAGTCCAGTGGCACACCGCTGCGGCATGCAAACGGTCCGAATAAAGAATGACATGGAGAACCCCCTTTCTCGTTTTCCCCTCTAAAAGGAGTCAAACTTGCCATTTGTCTACAGAACATACTTACAGCGCGCTATCATATTTGTGTTTTTCATGCACAATTTATTTACAAAAAACATGGCGGGGGGGCAGGCTTTTTCTTTTTCTTTCATTTTTTATATGCCACTATTTGAGATATACGTGGTTTGGGAATTCTTTTAAACAAAGTAGACGCAGGCGTTTTCCCTGGTGGTGAGATTTTTTACTTGTCCTTTGGTGAACATATATAGGTAGACGCAACATTGGTTCGATGGACAATTCACTCCTTCTGTCCACCCAACCTCAGCGCATATGACGAGATCCCTTTTGCTGGGTATGCACAACGGATTGGGGGTGACAAATCTGGTGCCGGTAAATGTACAGTGCTGCCTACTCCAAACATACGTACTAAGTATATTGGCTTGTATGTAAAAGCGCATAATATGCTCGTTCCAGCTGTCGCGTGCATACGTAGCTCTCAATTTTATTTTATTTATATATTTTTGGTATGCCGTTGTAACTAAGTTAATTTGAACTACTTTCGAAAAGATGAAAAATAGAATTGCGCGTATGTCCCCTTTTTGCGTCGTGGTACAAAGAAACCCACAGCAGGTCTGAATTTGAGTATTTTTTGTTGTATTTGGAAAAAATGACAACCGGAGGATTGAAAGTGTGCAAAGAGGGGGAGTTAAAATTATAAAAAAAAAAAATTGTTCTGCTACTTGTATAACGAAGACATAACAGCAGAGACGGAAGCGAAGCGAACCGGAACGAAAGGGACACAGCGTCGAAACGGTTATTTGTGAATGCGCGCTGGATTAAGGGATAAAACGACAAAAAAAAAGGAAATAAAAAAATAGCAACCACGAAAAAGAGGCGCTGACTAAAAAAAAAAAAAATTACAAGGGAAGGTAGCAAATAATGGTATACAATGTTTGTATGCAGAACCGTATGCAAAATGGATACAGAACTGCGCGAAAATACATGCAAAAATAATTATTCAAAAAAAGCGTCCAAACTCCAGAATTGGAAGAAAATACCATGCATATATAAAAATAATATATGCCCCGCAGGTTCATGGAGTTTTCACTACATGCAGGATATAAAAAAGGGAGAACAAATATATATTAGAAAACTCCGTTTTTTTTTTTTTCTATTTTTACCATTTTTTACTTACCCGACTTTTTTATCAAACAAATATGGTTATTATATTTGTATAATATAGTTTAGAATTAATTTAAATTTTTGAAAAATTAATTTCTTGGTTCTTTTTTATTTTTCCCGTTGTTGCTTGATCATTTAGAAGATTATTTGTTATTTTGTCAATTTGCTAATTTGATAATTAACCATTTAACTTTATTCCCCTTTTATCTGTTTATTTTTACAAGTCCTCGTTTTCCCGCTTTTTGCTAATTCGATAATTTGCCAATTTGCTTGTTTGTCTCTACCCCCATGAATGCCAAATAATAATTTATTCATTTCAAGAAAAAAATCATTGAATGCAATCTTCTTAAAAATTTTATCCCCATTTGAACATTTAACATACATTTCGCTTTTTGTAAACCCGTTCGCGGTATATTTATTTTTAAGAGTTGTTCTACAGTTTTTTGTTTACCCCATTCTATTTTATAGTTCCATTTGCGAACCCACTGCGTAGTCTATATTTCCAGATTGATATGCCTTTTTTTTTTTTTTCATTTGATGTATGGTTGTCGTTTTTGACTGAATTCTTTGTCTCGCTCTGATTGACTTTCTCCACGACCCAGCGCCAATTTGCATACGCGTCGATACAGCCCTTTTTGATTATCCGACCACCTGCATATATATCTTTCCGTTCACAAACTCTACCCCCACCACGTACTTCAAAATGCCTGGTAGCACGAAGAGCGACACCAAATTAGAGAATGAAATTCGAGTAAGCTACAAGAGCGATGCTCTAGATTACGTCTACAAAGCAGTTGTCCTGTTTGAAACGCACGATGACGTAATTTTATCCGGAGTCGGCAAGGCCATCACCTCGGTGGTCAATGTCGCGGAGATGGTCAAGAGGAGGGCCAAAGGAATACACCAGTGTACCAAGATTTACGAAAAGGAGCACACCATTAAGAGGTAGGCATTGATATTACCGCGTACATAGAACTGTATGATAGGGCGTTTCCGCGCAGTGCATATTTTGCTTAACCGCCTTACCCAATCAGGCAGTTTTCGCCCATTAAAGAAATAAATTGGCATAATATTATGTTGCAAGGCAAATCAACATACAAACGTTCCCCAATTTTTTGTACCCCTTTGCAGAGAAGACCCAGCTGCCGCAAAGAAGGATGACAAAGAGGAGAAGGAGGAAGATGAGGAGGAGAAAAAGGCCGGAGAAGAACCCGAAGAGGGTGAAGAAAATGATAAAAACAATGAAACAGAAAATAGAATAATTGAATTCAAAACCACCGTACCTTGCATAAAAATCATTTTAACAAAGAATGATACAAACGTGGACAAAAAGGAAGTAGGCTACCAAGCACCTATAGATGAAAAGGACGTAAATGTCATGACTCCTGATCAAATACTGAAGGAAAAGTCCTACAGACGAAAATGTAAGTTTTTTTTTTTTTTTCGCATACATAATGAAGCATATAGGGGAAGCACGTCCCTGCATTTCCCCCCTACTAATATGGGGACATGCTGCCCATTCTGCTGAATGAGTCATGTGGCTATCCCTTTTTGTTCGTTGACCGGCAAACATTGAATTTTTGTTTTTTACCCCCCTTCGCAGATAGGACAGGTCGAGGCGGAGACAGATTTAGATCGTCCTACCGCAGGAATTACTATGACACGCCTATGTGGAACAATAGGAGATTTGAAAAGAGAAATTAAATAACTAAACCGTTTTAACGAAGTAGTTATTATAATTTTTTTTTTTTTTCCAGCATGAATATGTACTTTGCATGTCGCGTATAGAGCAAAGCATATGTCGAAGCCCTATACCATGCAATATATCTCGTATCGCACAGCACGAACTGCACATTGCATATGGCACACCGCATTCAGTGCATCCCGTATAGCATGCCTCATGCCGCATATTCGAGCCGTCCATCTGTAACACGTCATGGTTCCCTCCAGATGCTCTCCTCGAGCAATTATGTTTTGCCTAGAATTTTGAATAAACGTTTTGTTGTATGTGTGTATGCATGTGTGTGATGTCACGTCAAAAGGCGCATATTATATTATAGCGCAATATATCAGATTGTATCCCATTGTATTATATTGTTATCATATCATGTTATATATATTTTGTTGAAATGATCCTTTCCCCATTTAAAAGGGGCAGTTATTTTTAAATGAGTATAATTCTTCCATCACTACCCCTATGTCGAGATAAGGTGTATTAGTGCTACTGTTGCGAATCCTTTGTAATTGTTGCCATGTAGCTTAAGTAATTATATATATATGTATTTTTAAGTGTTTACGTGGGTATATATCCATTCTGTTTCCAATGTTCTCAAGTGTGATTACGAATATGGTTATGATTTTTTTATTTTTTCCAATTAATGTTTTTTAAAGTTAAAAAACTTCCTTATTTTATCAATTTATTAACGTTAGATTAAATTATTTTTTTTTATCTTTCGATATGTTTTATTTGATAATAAAACTATCAGCTACCTATATTAAGTGAACAAAAAAAGACAGAAAGCAAAAAAATGGAAAGCATGGACTGTTTTTATATGGTAAATTTTCCAATGTGATTGAATATGGATGGGGAAATTTAAATTCACGGATGAAAGGCATATCATGTTGGAGCAAACTGATTCGTGCATATCGCGTCATCTTTATACCTCATATCGCTTTGTCTATTTCCTGATAGAACAGCTTTGCCATCGTAACCGGCATGTATTTCATGTGAACATGTAAGAAAGATGATGAAGGGTACCTTTCGTATTTGCACGCATATCGAATAATGCTTTTGTCTGATGGGTTTTTTTTACGAAGCCCTATTTTTATGGGTATGCAATGCGCCTCCTCCGTTGAAAAGCGTTGTTTATCGCGTTTTACTCCATTAGATTTAAGCTTCCCATTTGTATGAATTCTTTAGAATGGAAAAATGGAGTTAAAATAAGGGGTCATATTAGTCCCTTTACGAACACTATTTACTCGGTCTTTTCTCATATTAGCAAGAAGGATGTACGAGAACATGTTGGAAAGTGTGGGGACAACGGTTGCTTTCGAAAGAGAAACCCAAAGTTGTAGTAACATACAAAGCGCAGAATGTGTGACCTGTTCATGTAAAAATAAAAGAAACAGCTAAAATTTGAAGTTATAAAAAAAAAAAAAAAAAATTACGCTTACAAATGCACAGAATGTATGACTCGTTCATGTAAAAAAAAAGAAAAAACGGTCACTTTTCCTTATTTAACCTTAACTGTTCGTAGCTTTTTTTTTTTTTTTTTCCAAGTTTTACACTGTTTATAAAGTAATAATTGTTTGATGACTACACCGCAGAAAGGACGTAGGATAGGGAAGGACAAAAAAACACTGAGTATATGTTTGCGGGGTTGTGTCTGCCTTTGTTCGCACGTTCCCTTTTTGCATGTTTATGTGTGCCCCCATGTGTTTGTACGTACATGCCCATAAGTGTTGCGACAAAAGGAGTCCAACCTGGCTTTCCTTATGTGTAACGTAACAGCGGAAAAGCAGGAATTGTTGTACAGCATATTGCGCAAGCATTTTATATGCGGTAAAAATGTAAAAAGGGAACGTGCTTGAAAATGCAAATGTACACATGAATATAGCGCATAAACCAAGGAACACCAATTCATCACACCACTTTTTTTTTTTTTAGTGCAAAGGATTTTTAATTGTAAACAAAAGGCTTTTCTTTCATTCCTGTTGCACATATGTGTTTGTACACGTACATGCATATTCATATACACGTGGCACATGTGAAAGAACTTTTTCCAAATAGCATCAAAAGAAAATTGGCATTAATCGATTAAGTGCCCTTCACTGTGTACACTTTATTTCATGTAATTATTATGACCAAATAATCATTTTTTTTTTTTTTTTTTTGTTTTGTGAGGCTCTTATGCATATTTACAATGAGGAGTTTAGCAGAACTGTGATATGTTTTCGAAAATATATATATCCCTGAAGGGAGGAGATATATTATACAAATGTGATTTTATCAGCCTAGCTCCTAGGAGAATAATATTACAAACTGAAAAAAAATATATAAATATAATATAATAATATAAGAAACGAAGCAGAAGCTTACGTTAAAGTTTACAAATAATTGTAAACAATGAGGTATGCAAAGCGACGATTGCTTTTCTCCCCGTGTGTTACCCCTTCATCATTCAATATAAAGGGGATACTCACGGCCTGTAAAAGTAAAACGTTTTCCAAACGAGTGGTAAACGGGAGTAGAAGCAGCAGAAGAGAAAGGGGAGGAATGGACCCAAGGTAGAGGCTCTACAAGAGATAAAAATGTTGGAATCATTAGTTGAAAAGCTACTGAATAAATTCCTCGCGCCTTATGTCGAGGGGATTGAGAGGAACCTCCACTTGGGGGTATGGTCAGGCAACATAGTTCTAGAGAACCTGAAACTTAAGCCGCAAATAACCGAAATCTTAGATCTATCGTTTAAAATAATCCATGGTAACATAGGTAGAATAAATATACAAATTCCATGGAGTAAGTTAGGGAAGAGTCCTGTGTGTGTGCTCATTAAAAATGTGCACATATATATAAAACCAAGAAGCTACAAAAAAAGCGAAGATGTAATCATCGAAGAGTTGAGAAAAGCCAAAATGCACAGACTGGAACTATTGGAGGAAGAAATTTCCCTGATTAAACAACAGAAAAATAAGGAAAAGTCAACAGAAAAGTCCACACTTATATTTAAATTGTTAAATAAAATTATTAACAATATCCATGTAGACATTCAGGACATTTTAATTCATTTTGAAGACCCTGAAAAGAATTTTTCCATCGGATTTATTCTCAAGTCAGCCTCCGTTAAGAATTGTCTTGTGAAGGAGGAAAACCCGGCGGAGGCTGTCAGTTCCGGTGCAAATGCGGGTGCAAATTCGAGTGAGGAAAATAAGAAGTTAAATCACATGATCGAGTTCAAGGGGCTGTGTATTTACAGCAACAGTAATATAAGGAAAAAGCGCAGGAGGAGGAAGAGAGAAAAGGGGAAAACAGGACGCGAAAGCGACCAAAATATCTCTGAGGGGCCCCCAAAGCGGCAGGTCACCAGCGCCTCGTCCGAGTCGTTAACAAGGGGCGACCCTGATAAGGACGAACGGGAAGACCTGAAGATTAGGTCATCTCTGTCCGACGATGAAGATGAAGAAAATGATGCGAGTGGCAGAGTAGACAATTTGGACCGTTCATCCAAGGAGAAGAACGACTTGTCTATTAGTTACGACAAGAAGGAGGAGCTGACGCTCGAGTCCAAGCTAGGGAATACCGAAGGAGAAGAAGATCAGAATGGTGATAGTAAGGACAACTACTTGAAAAGAACTCTAACCCAAATTAGCAACTTTTTAAAAGATGACGACAGCAAAATTTTAAACTACTATAATTTTGAGTATCTGATAAAGCCGTTCGATTTGGTGTTGCCAGTGGAGCAGTCCAGCAACAAAAAGGAGCTGAAGGCTAAGTTAGAAATAGGGGAAAAATGGGAAGGAATTACGCTAACCAGGACACAAATTACAAAAATTATCGAAATAATGAATGAAGCCAATAAGTCCAGGAATCAGACGAACAAATTGTTACTAAAGTATGCCTGTACAGTCAAGCTAGACATAGAATCGCTGCGAAATGAAACCAAAAACGAATTTATGAATTTGTACAATAAAGTTCTTGCAGAGAAGTACAACATATCAACCACTGAGTTGACCTCCCAGGAGATGGAACGGTTGCAAATTTTGTATGATGTAGTTGGGGTACGGCATCTAGCCAAATGGAGATTGCAATGTAAAAATACGTTGGAAAAAATAATTGAAGAAAAAAATTTGAAAAAAAAATATCTGTACGACTCTATATATAAGCAACAGTCCTGGTGGTCCTGGGTCACTGGTAATAAGAAGGACATTGAAAAGAAGGTGCAGAGTATTTTAAATAGTGAGCAAGACATTATAAATGAGAAGGAGTTGTACATTTTGCAGGAAGCTATGACGAACGAGGATAATTACGATGTGGTCCTTCCAACCAAATATGATTTTCAATTCAAATTGGCAAATTTTTCTATCAACGTGTATGATGATTGTAAGAAGAGGAGAAGAAGACGGGTGTTGCTTGAGCCAGGGGAATTAGTAGAAAAGGGAAAAATTAACTCAAATGAGTACCCTATTGGTGGAAGCGCAACTGATGGTAGACTAACAGAAGGAACTTCCAATCCGATGAGCAACCCACTGGGGGATGAAATATCCCTCAGTGGAAGTGAAGACACCCTGATGAATAACTCCCCAGCTATGAGTCCGGCCAACAGTAACTATATCAAGAAGGGGATCAGATATGAAGAAATTAATATACTGTCGATAAATTTTTACCAAATATATTCTTCGCTGGCGTTACAGTCCGTGGTGGATCACAATGACAATGATAATTTCCAATGGAAGTTCATAATCGAGTTACAAAATTTCGTAGCAAAGCATAAGAATAAAATTTTTATGGAGTTCAGAACGAACAAGAATTTATTCCCCAACAATGCTAGCAGTACAGGAAATAGCCTTTACCAGAATGCAATTTATTATTCTTTGTTACATAGCCAAAGTGTGTGTGCCTATGTAGAGATAAATCACTTAGTGACTGACAAGGGGAACACCCTATCCTCTCTGTTAAGGTTGAATCCGCTGGAGCTGTATGTGTCTCCTTTACTTATTAAGAATATCCTGTCCTTTGCCTTTCCGCTAATAGATATTGTTAATAAGAAGCACAAGTCTGTTTTTCGAAAGTGCAAGGGGAAAGGCTCTGCTGTGGGCGACGGTGCGGCGGAGGCACCCCTGAAAAAGGTTTCACTGAAAGAGGCTTCCCTGCCAGATGCGCTTCCCAGTGAAGAGCTCCCAGGAAAGCCTCCCCCCGGAGAGACTCCTAGGAGTGCCGCGGGGGATGATCAGGCGGACACTTCGGAGGATGACGAAGAAGACGACGAGGCGCTGCAGCACATCAAGAAGATGGAGCAGACGGAATTGATAGAGGGGTTGAAAGAGAAAGGAGAAAACGTATACAACAGGGCAGTCCAGCATTTGCCGGAGCTGTTCGAATTTTACATTCATATATGTGGTCCAATATTACACTTTGATAATTTAACCAACGGCATTGTCGAATTGCACTTGGGTAATTTGATAGCCAAAACGGAGTTCCCCTGTACCTGCCACAAATTTAACTTAATTTTTGAATTCAACGAAACCCAGATAACGTGTTTGAAGGCGTGTCTGCAGGGAGGTGGGGGCACGTGTAAGGGTAAAAATGACGTGGATGTGAGACATGCTGAGGTGGACTTGGTTAGTGAATTGCCCTCCATCAAAGACGACAATACACCAAATATACAGGAGGCACAAGAGGGGGAGGGGGGGGAGATCCCCCCCATGGAGGAAACCCATTTGAAGGACAGCTACTGCGACCGCATAAAGGAAAAGACACAGAAGAGTGAAAAGTTTTACATACTGCAGCCCATTCCTGTAAAGGTGTACGTGGAATACGACTTGAAAATTTTGAAGACGAACATTATTTTGGACGGCATTTTTTTCCAAATAAATCCAGACGCAGTAAGCATCATATTGGCTGTGCCGACATCCATTACGAGGTATTTAACTCGGTTCTACTCAAAAAATAAAAAAGAAAAAGATTTGCTCAAAGGTAGGAAGAAGACTTCAGTGGAAAAGAAGACAGTTTCTTCTTCCAAGGGGGAAGAAAATATTTGCTTGAAGATTCCTTCCGCTGATGGAGCTTCGAAGGAGGGTAACCTGGTCAGTGTCCATGCTCCGAATGACGATGAGTCTAAGGCCAACCTGACTGATGCGAACCAAATTAACAAACCGGAGGAAGAATCCTTTCTCTATGACATCGACTTTTTAATTAAGAATTCAGCGTTTTCCATTAAAAATGGGAAAAATAGAGAGGTGCTCAAGTACGAGGCCTGTGGAATATCATACAAGAATTACCTGCAGAAAAAAAGGAAAATTGTGAAGGTTGAAATAGAGCAGTTGTGGATTTGTGACCCAAGTAATAGGCAGCCAATTTTTTTTACTTTAACGAAGAATGTGAATTCGAAGGATATATTTCTCTTCCGGTCGTTGTCGACTTATTTGGAGGAGAAACACAACGCGATGGTTAATGGGGGCTACGCTCAAGGGGGGGCGGTACTACCAGCACCGTCGCCACCACAGCCACCACCAGGAGGAGAAGGGCACGGCACCAATTTGGGGACCCCGTCCAGTGAAGATGCAAGCAGCGATAAGCTTGATAGAAGCTGCAGGGGGGGTAATAGCGTGAGTAGAGATGCCAGCAATGAAAATAACAGCTCGAGGGGCATAGATCGATTTCAATCGGCTCAAAGGATAGAGGAATTTATGGAGAGTGATTTTCTGAGGGAAGCGAAGGAGTGCCCCCCCAATAATGAGCTGGATAAAAGTGGGCAGGTGAGCAGACATTCGAACGGAAGTAGCCCTAACGAAGCGGGAGCGGCGTTGAAAGTTGGTCACGCGGTGGACGAGGAGGAACGCGATGATGGAGACGATGACGGCGACGGCGACGACGACGACTTCATGGACGCCATCGAAGAGAAGCAGCTGTCCATAAACCTGCAAATTCTGCAGGAACAAAACGAAATCAACAGGGCCAGAACGCACGTGAATTTGATCATCAGTGACATCGAGCTCCACTGGAAGTACAAAACGATCAAGCAGATATTCAAAACGATGAAGGAATATAAGAAAAAGCTGCAGTATGGGATTGAGAAGGACATGAAGTATATCAAGAATAAGTTAAAGAATGAGGAGGAGTTAAAAAATTATAAGATGTTCATTTCGGAACACACCTTGAGGAGTGTGCAGCAGACCCTAAATAATGTAAAAAATTCTTTGAACATTTTAGACATAGAGTCTGCTAGGAAGAACAATGAGGAGGAGTTGAAGGAGGAGGAAAGCCCTGTTGTAGGGGACAGCACACATGCAGGAAGCGCTGAGATGGGGCAAGCTCCAGTAGACCCCAAGGAGGTGAACCTCCTGGAACCATTGGACAAAGGTGAGCATATAGTTGGAAGGAGTACACAAAGCGATGACGGACAAAGTGGTGACCATGTCGATGGAGATGGCGAGGGGGATATCCTTAGCAATGGGTTGAATAAGACCTTACCGAAATTATACGGGCAGAAGAACTCCTACGTAAAGTACTTCTTCAATTGTTACATCAAGAGTGCTTCCCTAGCCTTCTGGCAAAAGAGGAAGATTTTCTCAAAAATTCAAGTAAGCAGCATATATTACGAAAATAAGGTGTACTTAAATTTTGACCAGAAAATGTTCGTAAATATTGAGAAGGGCATCATATCGATGAATAGCAAAAATATCATTTCGAACAATATAAATGATTACACATATGATTTGTTCATTTCGAGGAAGAGCAAAAGGTTTGGTGCCACCGATTTGGAGCAGATGAAATCCAGTGAGGATAGCAAAGGGGAAAATGTGAAGGTGATGTCAGAGAGACGAAACAGTAGAGATATTTTAAACTACATCAGTGTGGATAATTTATCTGAGGAAATTAAGAAAAAAAAAAAAAAATCGAGCAAACAGAAAAGGCAAGATTTATTTGTTGGAAAAATTAAGGTATACAACGACAAGAGGAATTATAACATATGTTTGCTCTGCGATATATCCAGCATATACTACATTTTTTATTTACGCGATTTGAAATTATTTCTGGAGTATCTAGATGATGGTATTTTGAATGTGTTTATAAGTAAATCGTATAAGAAGGTGGTACAGGTAGCTCAGGCGAAGTATTTTCTCTTCCACTGCACCATCTTGGATCCTGTTGTTATTATTCCGGAGGATAAAAATATAATATATAATTATCGTGGGGAGGTTAAGAATGTGTCTAAGTGCTCCAAGGGAAGCAGCACCATCAATGGGGGTGGAAATGGTAATCGAGGGGGGAACTCTATCCCTTACATCGAATCGTATTTGAAATTCCATTTGGGCACTTTAAAATTTAAGAATTCGTATACGATAAATTACACCCAAGAGATCGTCGAAAATCAACGAAGTGCGCTACGCGAGAGGAGAAAGAGGAAAAGGCAAGCAAGACAGGCAAGAGGAGCAATCCAAGGAAGAGCTACGCCAAGGAAGCGTCAAATGGATGTCCATTGCAGTGATATAGGCGGTAGCTCGACCCCAGATGAGGCAACAGAAAATGAAGAATTGGAAAAAAATAAAAAGACATCAGCCGTTGGGGGGAAATACGATTTTACGCTCTATGTCGATTTGTTAGACGTGGAAAGTCGCGCCTGTGAAAATGGGGGCAGTACCAACGTAGAAGGGAACATTCTACAAAAAGTGAACATTGGACTATGCTTAGTCAGCAGCAAGGATGGTATTTTCATTTACCTGAATGGGAACAATTTTTGCTTGGATTTGACTGTATTTCAATTGGCCTTTTTGTTAGATATTATTAATGAGAATTTTTGCTACAAGGGTTACTTCCCTATGTGCTTCATTTGTGATAGGGGCGTAAACATAGACAGCATGTTGAACGCGGAGTGGTTCCGTAAGGGCAACATCAATTTGGGGAACCTGGGCGTTCGCCGCGGGGGGGAAGCGGTGACACAGGCTAATGCCGCCAACGAGGCGAAAGAGATGAACGAGGAAAATGATTTGAGTAGCCCCCTGGGGCCGCCAAACCCCGTCCAGAGTGAACCCGTGAAGAAGAACGGGATGAAGTTATACTTGTACATAAACCTGGAGAGTCTAAAGATTAAAACCTCCTTTGACGAAAATACCCCAGTAGCCATAATAACGTTCCAAAATATAAGTATGTCATTCCACCTAGTTCTTCTAGATTTTTACTATATATATTTTTTCGACCTGTATAGTAACTCCCTCTACATTGATGATGTGAGAAAGAACTCCATCAACTACTACAAGAGAGTGGCGTATTGCTGCATCGAGAACGAAGCAAGAAGGGTGAAGAGGAAGAGGGCAGACAAGTATTATGAGGAAAAAATGAGGGAGAATTATGTGAGGGAAAATACCGAGGCCAAAATGTCTCTAATTAAAAATATGAGCGCATCGGTGAATAGTAACTCTTGCGTTTCGAACCTAGACGAGGAGAACAACATGAGCAGCAGCGCTGCGATGGGAAGCAGCCCGGTGGTTGGAAGTAACTCTGTGGTGGGAAGCAGCCACCCCACGGGAGATCGCTGCGCACCTCCCCCCGCAGCTTCGAAGGACTACAAAGCACTGCTCCGGTACATGTTCGAGAGTAATGTATTTCTGAGCGAGGCAAAAAAGAAGAAAAGGCAAAAGGGCATAAAGATAAGAATCAATTCCTTTATAGAAGATATCATCCTAAGCATAGAATTGGATGATGCATACATCTGCTGCTTTTTTGTCATTTTTTTGGATATATATAAATTCCTATCTACCGGTTTTAATTTGAGCACACTGCATCTTTATCCAAAGCCATCTCCCTACATCGTTTCGGCGAAGGATCCAGGAAGGAAGAAAAGGGGGAAGAAAGTTGCGGGGGGCCATGACCGTTCCCACCAGAATGATGTTGCTAATGTAGGAGGGAACAAAGATAATTTGAAAGAGGATAAGAAGGAAGCGAAGGGGAATGGGACGAATACGAAAAGGTATGGTGTGGAGAATATTAGGATAGAGGAAAATGTTTTTAAATCGGAGGCGAAAAGTGAAGCAGAGACAGGTGGACGCCATGGAAAGCAAGAGAAGGTTACCCCAGTAGGGGGAAAAGAGGAAGACGAAGGAAAAGGTCACAATATTAGGGATGGGGAGAAGAATATATCGAGAGGAAGCAGCATTAATACTAGTCGATACAGATTTATCAGAGAGCGGATGGGGAATGAGAAAAATCAAACCATAACAAATATAAATGAAATTCTAAAGTTGGATAATAAGCCTATTCACATAAGCTTCAAAGTGAACAATGGAAATTTTATTATCTTTACGAATCTAGAGAATGTGGCTCATCCGATTTTGTTGTGGTCGAATAACTTCGTCTTTTCCTTCTCTCTGTTAAACAAGTGCATAATGTTTAGGAAAATTTACGCTATAAATAGTAAAATAAAGCGCATTAATTATGTCAGTAATTTTTCTAGCGATTTGAGTAGAAACAGGAAAAGGGTGAGTGGTGTGCGGGGAGGAGACCCCAAGGATGTGTCTAACCCACTGCACAATTATCATAAGAAAAAAATTTTACTGTGTGATAATTTAAATGTTAAGGGGGAAGCGATATACGAGTCAGTGGACACGAAGAAGGAAAATTATATTTTAAAAACGAATATGAAGGGGAAGGAGTACCCGGAGTTTATCTCCGTTTTTGATTTGGATATTCACATTGGGAATTTTGACATACGACTGTCGAATGACGATGTGGAAATTTTGCTTAGGGCCTCGTCGACCCTGTTTGGCGATGTGCCCAGCTCTTACACGAAAATCGTCGTTGGTGCGGTAATCCCACCGGTCACGTTTATTCACACCAAGATAAAGAACAAATTTATGAGGAATAACATTTATTTTGTGATGAAGGAGGTGTTGGATGGCCAAGCAGAAGGGGCAGGTGCAGAAGATGATGTAACTGGGAAAAGCGCGCGAGATGGAGACGAGAGCCGCGCGCAGGAGCTGCAGATAACGAACATAAATAAGCTGAAGGCGGGGAAGAGGAGAAAAAAAGGGAGAGCGGCCGTGGTGGCTGACGTTAGCAATGAGGGGGAAACTGTGAAGCGGGAAGGAGACACCGCATCGGAGGAGAAGAGTCTCGTTATGACGAGAAAGCAGAAAAGTGAGTTAGACCTATCCGAGTCGAGCAACAACGTGATTGAATCATTTTCGTACAACGCTCTGTCTGAAATTTCAGCGGACTCCAATTTGACGACACACTCAGACTCTTCCTCCACGGAGTCGTACACAACGAGTAGAGTATTCTCCAGTAAATGTGCAGCGAATAATGAGTCGGAGTCTGATTTGGCTAGCGGTAATGAACAGGTGAAATCATATCGAGACATTAAAATAGTAATAAAGCTACACAATGTGAAGTGTACGTTCATTGACGACATAAGAAATTCAATCGTGCCAATAATCAGGACGATCATGAGTATGAGCATTTGTTTGAATTTTTATTCAGATGAATGTTCGTACAATATAAATGATTTGAATTCAAAGGTAGAGTATTTTAACAACTGCATTGGAGATTGGGAACCCTTTTTGGAGAAGTGTAACATTTCGTTAGACATTCACAAGATACTACCGACTGATGCGATGAGTGAAGACACAGAGTCTAACAAATCTCCAATCAGCATAATTAAAATAAATAGTGTTAACGCTTTATGGTTTAATATAACTCCACAGTTAGTTAATCTGCTATTCTTGTTCCTTCCTGTATTTACGGAGAAGGTACTTAAGGGTCTGAACAAAGAGGAAAACAATCGATGCATGCCGAGCAACGCGTTAGAGAAGGAAGAAACCAAAGGGTCCCATTTTTCCCTTTTTCACAATAATTGTGAAAGCATTTCTGCTGAGCTAGATGAGAAAAAACTTAGCATTAAGAGCAAGAGCATTTATGAAGATTGCTCGTCTGTTTTTGAATCTGTTCCTGGTGACATCGATTCGAGCAAGGAGAATGATTTTCATTTGGATGATTTCTTGAACAGAGAGGAAAATCGACACAGTTGCGATTGCCTGAGGGACAATTCCGTTGTTTATTATGTTAACTTGACGAGCGATTTTTTTTACGCCTTCGTGATGCCTGAGAGTACCGTGGAAGAGGTGAAGAAGAAGCGCCTCTGTGTGGATGGCAAGGGGAGAAGTTACCGAAGTGTACACGAAGGGGGCACTCCTACGGGTGTGGGGCAGAAGCAGAAAAAGGGAAGGACAAACCTTGCTGGGGCATTCTCCAAGATGGCATTGCACACCACGATGGGCAGTGGAAGCACGGGTGATAAAGTGAAAAAGGATAATTATCACAGTGAAGGAAGCGACGGTGACGATTCGGAGACGGATTGTGATGCGGAGAAGAGTGCCCCCGAGTTGTATGCCAAAATTGTAACCACGAACGAGTTGGTTTCCCTAGATCGATTGCTTGTCAACGAGATAGCGAACAACTCCTTGATTGAGAAGAAGTACCTGTACCTGTACCTCATCCCGATTCCTCCCTCAAACGTGGTGAACGTTATACATGATATGTTTTCCCATGTGAGCAAAAGAGACATAGTGCTGGATTTGATGATCACGAAGAATCCGAAGAAGACCATTGAGAATTTGTTGTTGCACAGCCAAAGGAGAGTGGACGGAAAGAAGGCAAGAACAAGTGGGGGCAGCACCGCCAAGGGGAAGGGAAAAAGTTACGACAATAACAAGTATAACGCAAACACGGTTAGCGATGACAGGGATAAGGCAGGAAAAACTATCGAGGGCACCGATGTGGGGGCGGACGAAATGAAGCAGTTTGGTCAGGATGAGGGCGCCTCAGCACATTTGAGAAATGACGATGTGTTCGCTTCGAATGATGATTTGTCCCTGGATGGGGAACGGCAAGAGGAAGAACTCCTCGACCATGAGGAGGTTAGTTCCAAAGGGTACAGTGAGGATGAGCTGGAGGATGATGAACACTCGGTGGAAAGCACCAGTAGCTCCAGTGAAAACCACTACTTTAGGTACAGCCAAAGGAGGAAAGAGATGATGGGAAACTCCATTTTTGCCTCGAACAAATTCGTAGGTCCATTTTTGAAGCACTGCGAATGTGTCATTATAAACTTGATCAAGAACAGCTGCACGACTCTAACCACATCCCTGAAGAGCAACAACGTGATTCACATGATGAAGCCGCTGGACTATATTTTTGATGAGGCCAATAACAGCGGCATCCCCCAGCAGGGTGACACAAGCGCAGGGGTCCGCGGAAGGGACGACGCAGCGCTGAACAAGTCAAGCGTGGACAAGCCAATCATGGACAGGCGAAGCAAATTGGAAATTTTGAACGAAGAGATGGACAAGCAGACCAATCTATCCCGCAAGTATCGACTGAAGAATAATTATCTTCCGCTAACCTCACTCGCGGAGACAGTGTGTGAAATAATATCTCCTATGCCAAATTACAAAATATTGTTCATGTCCTCAACGGTTCGGATTGTAAACAAGTGTGGCATTCCTCTGGAGTTTTGTTTCTTCGATGGAACGAGAAACCCCATCTTGCTGACGTCTCTAGAGAATAGGACCATACCAATTAGCACGCTCTACCCTAACCACAGCGACTCGTTTAAAAATTATAAGGTGTCTAACAGTTTGAATATAAATCCTGATATTAAGTTGCGTCAGAAGAATAATAACATGAGTTTCACGGTCATTCTGAACCATGAGTATTTGCTGTCCACCCCCGAGTGTGCATTTTGTGGCCCATCGCATGTGTACCTGTCCTTCAAGCCGATAAATTTGGTAAGTGAGGAGAACGCATACTATGAAGTGATCAGTTCCAAGGGGAAAGGAGAGATTTCTAGAGGTAGAGGTATTAAAGAAGGCACCTCCTCTGCTGGAGGCATACAAGGTTTGAATAAGAAGAATCAGTTGGATAGCTCCAAAGCGGAAGGACATACTTCCCCAGGGTGGGGGGAGATTTATATGCCCGATGGGTCATCATCTCCCAAGAATGGGGCAAACGAACTGATGGACACTTCCTCCATCAGTAGCGAAAAGGGATGGTCCGACATTTTCAGCTCTGACATTAACCAAGGGACATACGTCAAGAAGTGCAAAATTAAGGATAGTAATAATTACCTTTATTTTATAGTTAAAATTGAGAATAAAATAAGTGCCCTACCTGCAGAGAAAAATTTAAAAATTATTACAATATATCCCCATGTGAGTGTAGTGAACGCCATTCCTGCTTTGGTGGACATAATAATTACATCAGAGATTTCAGACGAGAAACAAAACGATTACGTGTATGAGGAAAAGGGGAAGATCGAGGTTTTAAAAAGCAAAAAGGTAAAGTTGTTGAGGCAATGTGAAGAGATAAATGCATACCTGAGCAAACTCACGTCGGTCAAAAACGTCAATTCTGGCAGTAGTTCTGCAGGCGCCACAACTGCTACGGTGGGTGGTGGATCGAGCAGTGGCTATGCGCATGAATATTATTTGGGGAAGGGGGCACAGAACAACGAACGGGTGTACATACAAGAGTTGAAGCGGTTGGAAAAGGAAATAAGTAACATCGATGAGGAAATAAAAGTGAAGAAAAAGGAGCTGTCTTCCTGCACTTCCAATAAAAGTTATGTGAACAAGCGATTGAATCCATTTTCCATTTTTTACATTTATGAAATTAAAAAGTATAGTTGTCTGAATATGAAAATGAAAATTGGAAATTCTCAATGTGAGTGGTCTGACAAGCTATACTTGTTGGAGGATGACGAAGAGTCTGTTATGAGATTTTCCTTAAATTTTAAACGGTTCGCTTCTGTAGAAGTGGAGTTAATAAAAAACTTCAGTGGGTATTTCAATTCGTTAAGTAGCATATTGGGTAATAAACAGCTGTACATTTTTTCTCTACCTCGATGTTTTATTGACAGAACGGGTTTGGGCATCAAGGCCATCAATTCAAATAAGTACTACCCCATTATTAACGGCATAACTTTGTTAGGATATAATTCACAAATAGATTTGTTGTTACCACATAAGATGTACCACAATGAATTTTTAAGGTCGTGCCGAAATGGGGTTCGAAGTTATGAAGTAGGGGGGGAAGAGACATTTAACGACTACAGTGATATTTTCAACGATTTTAATTATCCTTGTCCAGTTGACAACTCGCTGATATTGTTCAAGGCGACGTTGCCCCCCATCGGCAGCTACACCGAGACGAGCGTGGTGTGTAAGAATTTCTTTTACACCTTTTGTCTGAACACGGAAAAGATTAAGACCACGAATATACCCTACATCATTAGCAGAATAATTACTGTGGTGCCTCAATTTATCATTAGCAATAAGCTGAACCACCCGATCCTGGTGAAGCAGTTTCAGACTGATAAGATTCAGGGGGTTCGGCAAAATGACACCTCTCCGTTGTACTTCCCGAAGAAGCAGAATATTTTGCTCTTCCGGTTTAGGGCGCTGGAGGGGGTGAAGGAGGACGAGGGAGGCGATGATGATGGAGTTGACGTTAACAGTGGAGCTGGCTGTGGTGATGGCCATGGTAATAAGAAGAGGGAGGACTACGTGCCCCTCCCAGCCAAGCAATACAAGATAAGCAAGAACCCATTTTGGTCGTCGGTTATATTCCCGAGTGAAAACTTCGTGGGAACCAACTACATGGTAGTCAGCAACAGTTCTGTGAAGGAGGAGAAATCGGAAGTGTACGTAATTACTTGCATCCCTGACATGGGCACGAAAAATATTATAATAGAAAGGTTAGATAATAATATGAATAAAGGGTTTATTGCCTACAATTGTTCTAGCTTAGCAAGGTATTTGAAAATACGAACCTTCCACGATGATACGAAACACCTCAAAATGGATGAAGAAGAAAATTATAAACTTGAAAAAAATATGTTTCTAAAAAACTTCCTAAGCACAGCTGACATGGAACATTATTTTAACATCGAGTATGACCAGTCTAGTTACCTCGGGTGGGTGAATCCGTTCATTTATGTTACACGAAATGTACAGATAGAGATCGTTCTGCACGACATGAAAACTATCCCAAGAACACCCTTTATATTAAAATTCGCTCAGTATAATTACGCGCAGAAATTATTCCAGGTTTATTATTATGACGTCATTTTTATCGTGTCCATAGAGTATATACAAGACCTGATAACGATTAAGTTGACCCACCGAATTAATATTTCTCGGGGAGTACCTCATGGTGGTGGAGGATATGTCGCTACCACCACCCCGTATGCTTATGACTCTTGTGAGGGTAGAAGACTTTCTAAAAATTCATTGGATATGCAGGATTACCACAAGATAGAACCCGCGGAGGGAGGGTACGAATTGAAGGACAAAAATGGTCAAGAAATGGGAGTTGCGAGAGGTTCCGTGGGGGGTAACTATATTCAAAAGAAGATGATGATTGGGCATAGCGAATATAATTATGTGAAGTCTCGTGCGGAGGAAGACTGTGGGGGAGAAGGAGAAGGAGGCGGAAGTGGGCACCAGGGTCATGTGAGCGGATATAGCAACTACTACTACTACGGCGCGGGTAAACGGGAGGAAGTCGTGAAGATGATCAGTAACACGTATAAAAATGTGCACGTAATTATTAATGTTACCCAAATAGGGGTAAGCATTATATCTAACATCCTGAAGGAGGAGGTTTTCTTTATTGAGTTGTCCAAGTTGTGTGCCCTTTTTTATATGAAGAACGAGGAAGAAGTTATTGACATAAAAATTACGGACGTGCAGGTGGATTGCCAGCTGGAATCCTGTGAGAAGTGTGTGCTTTTGGCGAACCGGGGCATAAGTACGAACAATGATAAAGGTGGTGGGGCAGCAGCCACATCAGGAGGGGCTTCTACAGGGAACAGCGAAAAAGAATTGAAGAGAATTAAAGATGCGTATGGTCATCACTCGCAGGGAAATCGTGCCAATGGGATTAGTGCTGGGGGAATAGGTAGAAAGGGCAGTTACGTGAGCGAGATGGATGAGCTATACGGGCGGAAGAATAGCAGCAGTGGTATTGGTAGTGAGGGTCGAGCCCATTTCTCAAACAACGATATAATAATGAGTAAGAGATCTAGTGAGAGCGGGCCAGGAATAATTGGCAAAGGCATGAACACAAATGACGAGAAAATATTTTTAAACATTTATGTGGAGAGATCTTTCATATCTCATAAGGACGTGATTTTTAAGAAGATACAGGTTTCTTTGGACGACGTGGAGATTGAAATGGACGCCGAAACGTTAAATGGAATTAACCTGCTCATAGCAGAGTACATTGAAGGGATAAGCATTGTGCAGAAGAAGAACCTGCTCTATGAGGAGATAGAAAAGTGGACCATTTTACCTGTCTATGTGAATTACAAGTCTCCAGATATCCCCTTAGCAATAAACATACAATACATGCAGATTGACAAATTCACTCTGATCGTCTGGTGCTCATTTCTACTGGACAAAATGCACATGATGAGTGATTTGTTGAGAATCGGTTTACGAATATTAATGGTTTCTGGAAAGTTAGAATTACTAGGAGCACCTGTAACTCTCAATCAGGAAATCTTTAACAACATCCGTGTTAGTTTGAAGTCTTTTTATGCTCTATTGAAAGATAAGTACAGTCATTCTATTTTGGCATGCCTAGGGTTCATAGTAGGATATAGCAGCCTAATTAACATACCGAAGATTCCCCTCGAAATTGGACGGAATACCATAGGGCTAGCTGTTTACGCTGTGGATAATGTAAGTGTGGGTATTGGAAGCTTCCTTTCTAATTTGACCTTTGATGCAGAATACATTAACAGGAGACAGAAGGAAAGGAACTTTAAAACAAATACGAACATGAAAGAAGGTCTCCTAAGTGCTGTGAAGAATATTGGGGAAGGTGTGCTAAGCTTATCTAACATTGTTACGAAACCAATTGAGGGTGCCCAGAAGGAAGGAGTTGGTGGGTTCTTCAAAGGGATAGGGAAAGGGGTAGCTGGATCATTGGTGAAGCCGCTAGATAAAGTAGGACAAGCCGTATCAGATGTTACAAGAGGTATAAAAGCTGAGGTGTCCAAACCGATCGGAGGACATAAGTACAAAATCAAGAGACATAGAAAGCCAAGAATGTTATGGGGAGAGTATGGGAAAATAAAAGAGTACAATTTGCATGAGGCTGAATTGAGAGAATGTCTAGGGTTGAAATTTTCAAAAAATATTATGAAATGTTTGACGATACATAAACAGGAGAATCATCCCCCTGCACATTATTCTTTGTTGCTATATCCGAAGGTTATTATTTATGCCAATTTGTATGCCAGTATGTTTTCTGGTAGTAAGAGTGGTGAATTTCTGGGGGACAAGAAGAGCGTCGGGGGGGGCGATATCGTCATTTGGTCGCTCAGGATTGAAGACATCTCTGAAATAAGGGCCTCGAGTCACGGGGTGATAATCCGTACAGGGAACTCCTCCAACAACCTCGTGTACAAAATTCCTTGCAACAATGCGCTTTTGATAAATAAGATTTACCGCGAGCTGCACAGCTCGAAGAGTTCCATCAATTCGACCATCATCCTGGGGGATGCACCTTCCTCACCGTGCGTGTAGCAGTTTGTGTGTCGCATTTTACATTTTCCATTTTGTACGCGCGCAGCACAGGATGGTTGGCGGTTTTTCTGCGCCAGCCTCCACTCTGCATCTGCAGCGCGCACCCCCATCATTCTTCCATACGCACTAAGAGTGAAACTTTTAACACGGAAATGTGAAAACTGATAAAAGAAAAAAAAAAAAAATTTTTTTTTCCCTAGCGGAAATGCCACGAACCTACAATATATATTTCTCCACAGGGGGGATAAAACCTTAACGGTGCTCTCACAGACTTTGGAGGTTAACGGAACGCAAAAAAAAAAAAAGGGACAACAAATCGAGTAAGAGGTGAAAAAGCAGTTGCGTAGAAAAATAAAAACGTTACATAAAAAATTGTTCAGTAGAGCGAAAACGAGTGAGAAGCAACAGTGGGGCGACCACCTCCTCGGGAGATCAATTTGGCCTGCTCCTTTTCTCTTTTGTTTTTTCCCCCCACTACAAGGGTATATATATCCATCTTTTTGTTAGCACGGTTTAGTTCGTAATAAATAATTTTACCGGGTTGGTGAGTGAAGGAGGCTTTGTCCCCTTTTTTAAACATTTTACTGATTTGATTTTTAAATGTAACAATTTTTTTTTTTTTTAATTTGGCACATCGCTCCGTGTGAGCCCCATGTTGTGGCGGCCCTTTTGACGACGCGATTAAGGGGCCTTTGCTTCCACTGAACGGTGGGAAGATGGGGTAAAGCTAGATATCACTTGCGTGTGCGGTGATACACTGGCTCAACGTGATCATCGCTTTGGATAACACTGTCAAATTGACTGCCCATCCCCGAGGGGTGCGGGAGAAGTGGAGAGTGGTGTAGATTGTTGGAGCAGTGGAAGAGGCGTGACAAACCTATTGGGGTGAAGGCAAGGGCACATGCCCGCTATATATGCACGTCAGAGATGGGGGTACAGAAAATATAGGCATAATTTTTTTCAGGCCCCATCATGAGCAGTCCCCCCATCCCTTTTGTTCTCTATTTTTTTTTTTTATATTTTTTTTGACGTCTCTTGGCTTTTGACCAGGATGGATATACCCGAAGGGAAGAAGCCAAGAGAGCGAGATGGAAAAAGTGAAAGGAGCAATTTGAGAAACATAGAAGAAGCGAAGAAAATACGGAACCAACAGAATGAAGCGAAATTGAAAAAGTTTTGTGGAAGTACCGATTTTGTGTTAGACGTACCGAACATTGACGAAAGGGTGAAATTTCTAAAGCATGAAGTAGACAATGAGATTTTAAATTTCAATTACACAACTATGATGTTAAATGAAAAGGTGGAGAGGTTAAATGATATAGAGAGGAATATACACATCCCTATGGAGACGCCTTTTTCATTTTCCTTTAATATGCAAAATAATGAGGATATAGGTAATTGGATAAAGGAGCAAAATGAGAATGAACACCGGAAGATTGGAAACGTTGAAGGGACGGATAGCCACATCAACCTAAATGATGAGGTGAAGCAGTTTTCTTCATCTGCTCCGATTGTCCATACATTTGACAAAGACGATTTGGAGTTTCTGAATAGGGTTGCTCCGCATTATATTAGAAGGGTTAGAAGTAGCCTACTGCACGGTGATGAGAGGCAGAGCAGGGATGTGAATCTAAAGGGAAAATTTTCCTCCATGGGAATGAACACACATGAGCAGGACGACAAGAGCCGTGAGTATGGTGTCTTGGTGAACAATGATAGCTCCTCTGAATTGATGATGAAATGTGGGAAAAGGAAAGTACCATATGAATACTATTTTCCACATCCTCTAAAGAAAGGCACAAAGGTGAAAAAAATTTACCCCCTTTTACCACACATTGCTGTGTGGAACAATAAATATGTACAAGGTATTATGGAGATTGGAAATTATAGTGATTACATGAGAAGTAGTGCAGGGGCAGATGCTAATAAGTTGCTGAGCAGCAAGGGGGCGAGTGCCACATTGAAGAGTGAGGCGAAGAAGGAAAAGAGCGGTATGCTCGGGTTGCTGCATTTGGTGGAGAAGACTCGCGACAAGCATCTGTACGGGTTGTATAAAGCGCACGACAAGGGTTGCGACGAGTATATGTTAAACAAGTTTCTGCGCAGGGATGGCACCGGTGCGGCTGTCACCAGTGCGCCTATGACCAGTGCTGATGGCGGTGCTCCCCTGCATGGGAACGTAGCAGACCAAGCGAGCGACACCCAGGGAGCGAAAAAACAAATCAGCCTAAGCAAATTTCTCATAAAAAAATACCTCTGTAAGTTAAAAATGAGGGAAAAGTTAAAAGGCAAATTGCCCAAGGGTGAAAACGTGACCTCCCCTGCACAGAGCCAGCAGCAACAGCAACAGCAGCAGGACGAAAAAGAAGAAAATTTTCCAAAGTCAAAAAATGAAAGAAACACATCTATTGAATCGACAAATCTGAGTAAGCGTGTGACGTTTAACGAAACAAATAAAAACGAATACGTGGGGAAAAAAGGAGAGCTAGGACAACATAGCCAGGCAGACGATACGGTCATGCAGAATGTGAGCTACTCGCAAAGTACCCCTCCTGATGATAATGTAGAGTGCTTCAAATATGTGCGTGATTATAAATCACCATCTTTTGCCATAAACCAAAATGACCCTCTGTCATACGTCATAGGGTTTAATAAGCATAACGTGGCTTTCATGTTTCCGACCGTGTCTCGAAAAATTATTTTTTCCAAAACGGGGCAACAAAAAAGGAAAAATTATATATTGATGCGGGAGCAGTAGATGCTATTTTTTACACGTGTGTACCGTTCGCGCTATTGCGGATGCCTTTTTTTTTTTTTTTTTTTTTTTTTTTTTTTTTTTTTT